TAATTCCAAAACCAGAAAAAGACACTAAAAAGAAAGAAAACTACAGGCCAATATCCCTGTTGAACATAGATGCCAAAATCCTGAACAAAATACTAGCAAATCGGATCCAGCAATACATCAAAAAAATTATTCACCATGACCAAATGGGATTCATTCCAGGAATGTGAGGCTGGTTCAATATTCGCAAATCAATAAATGTGACACACCACATAAACAAAATGAAGAATAAAAACCACATGATCATATCAATAGATAGATGCCGAAAAAGCATTCGACAAAATCCAGCATCCATTTCTGATAAAAACGCTCAGCAATGTGGGGATAGAGGGATCATATCTCGACATAATAAAGGCCATATATGAAAGACCTATAGCCAACATCATACTCAATAGGCAGAAACTAAAAACATTTCCATTAAGAATAGGAACAAGACAGGGATGTCCACTTTCGCCACTCTTATTTAACATAGTACTGGAAGTCTTAGCCACAGCAATCAGACATGAGGAAAAAATAAAAGGGATCCAAATTGGAAAGGAGGAAGTGAAACTGTCATTATTTGCAGATGACATAATATTATACATAGAAAACCCTAAAGACTCCATCAAAATCTACTAGACTTAACAAATGAATTTGGCAAAGTAGCAGGATACAAAATTAACATCAAGAAATCGATGGCATTCTTATACACCAATGATGAACTCACAGAAAGAGAAACTAAAAAAACAATCCCATTTACCATCGTGCCAAAAAAATTAAGATACCTAGGAATAAACTTAACCAAAGAAGTAAAGGACCTATTTGCAGAAAACTACAGGACATTGAAAAAAGAAATAGAGGAAGATATAAAAAAGTGGAAGCACATACCTTGTTCACGGATTGGAAGAATTAACATCATTAAAATGTCCATTCTACCCAAAGCAATCTATAGATTCAATGCAATCCCCATCAAAATACCAATGACATATTTCACAGAACTAAAACAAATACTTCAAAAATTCATATGGAACCAAAAAAGTCCCTGAATAGCCACAGCAATTTTGAAAAAGAAGACAAAGTAGGTGGGATCACAATACCAGATATCAGGTTATACTATAAAGCGACTGTAATCAAAACAGCCAGGTCCTGGCACAAGAACGGGCATATAGACCAGTGGAACAGAACTGAAAACTCAGAAATAGACCCAAGGCAATATGCTCAATTAATATTTGACAAAGGTGGCAAGAGCATACAGTGGAGTAAAGACAGCCTCTTTAATAAATGGTGTTGGGAAAATTGGACAGCTACATGCAAAAAAATGAAACTAGACCATCAACTTACACCATACACAAAAATAAGCTCAAAATGGATAAGAGACTTAAATGTGACCCGTGAATCCATAAAAATTCTAGAAGAAAATGTAGGCAACAAAATTTCAGACATCATACGCAGCAGAATTTTCAGATACATCACCTAAGGCAACAGAAACAAAGGAAAAAATGAACACATGGGACTACATCAAACTAAAAAGCTTCTGCACAGCAAAAGAAACGACCATCAAAATGGAAAGGCAACACACTGTATGGGAGAACATCACTGCCAATGATACATCAGATAAGGGGTTAATTTCCAAAATATATAGAGTGCTTATACAACTCAACAAAAGGAAGACAAAGAACCCAATTAAAATATGGGCAGAGAAGCTGAATAGACACCTCTCCAAACAGGACATACAAATGGCCAAGAGACATATGAAGAAATGCTCAACATCACTAATCATCAGAGAGATGCAAATTAAAACAACCATGAGGTATCACCTCACACCTGTCAGAATGGCCGCTGTCAACAAATCATCAAACAACAAGTGTTGGCGAGGGTGTGGAGAAAAGGGGACTCTAGTACACTGCTGGTGGGAATGCAGAGTGGTGCAGCCACTATGGAAAACAGTATGGTGTTACCTCAAAAAATTAAAAATTGAACTTCCATTTGACCCAGTGATCCCACTTCTAGGATTATACCCTAAGATTCCTGACACACCAATCAGGAAGAATATATGTACCTCCATGTTCATAGCAACACTATTTACAATAGCTAAGATCTGGAAACAGCCTAAGTGTCCATCAGTAGACGAATGGATAAAAAAGCAGTGGTACATATACACAATGAAGTACTATGCAGTGGTAAGAAGGAAAGATCTCTTATCCTTTGAAACGACATGGAGGGACCTGGAAAGTATTATCCTAAGTGAAATAAACCAAGCAGAAAAAGACAAATACCACATGATCTCACTTATATATGGAATATAATGAACATAACAGTCTGAGGAATACGGTAGACCCAGAAACATGGAAGTAGGGAACAGACTGACATCCCTCAGAAGAGGGGGTGGAAGGAGCTAAACCACAGAACTTATATGCATGTATGCATGACCAATGGACATGGACAACAAAGCCGGGGACGGAGTGGGGGTGGGGTGAGGAGGGGGGTGCCAATGTGGTAAAAAAGGAGAAACATCTGTAACAAAAAAATAAATACTTAAAAAAAAAAAAAGAGTATGTACAGGACCATAAATATATCCAGAATCAAATTAAGTAAAATTAAAAATGTCTATCATCTAATAAAAATTTATCAGGCATACAAAGAAACAGGAAAATAAGACCCATAAGGAAGAGAAAAATCAATCAATAGAAACAGACCCAGAAATGATAGACAATAGAATTAGTAAACCAGGCATCAAAAAATTATTAAAAGTATAGTCCATATATTCAAGAAAGTAGAGTAAATAATGATCATATAAAGGAGAGGCATGAGCCCTGCCCAGTTTGGCTCAGCGGTTGGAGCGTCGGCCTACAGACCAGAGATTCCAGGTTCAGTTCCTGCTAGACCCTGGCGGCTAGGGGCACATACCAAAAAAAAAAAAAAAAAGAGGCATGAAAGATACTAAGACCCAAAAGAATCTTATAGAAATGAAAAATACAATGTCTAATATAAAAAAATATACTGGGTAAGATTAATGGCTGATTAGGTACCACAAAAGAAAAGATTAATGAAGCTGAAGACAGCAATAAAAACTTTCCAAAATGAAACACAGAGAGGAAAAATATACTGAAAAAAATTAACAGGGCATCAGCAAATTGTAGGATCATTTCAAGCAGCCTAAAATAAGTGTAACTAGAGTTTCTCAAATACAAGGAGGAAGAAAAATAACTGAAGAAAACTTGGCCAAAATTTATCCAAATTTGATAAAATGTATAAACCTACAGACCCAAAAGCTCAATTGTACTTCTATTAGAAAGAAAGAAAATGCTAATGGTAAGGAAGGAGTCTTGAATAACATCCAAACTGAACATCAAGAAAGAGAAAAAATATAGTATTCTCCAATATTATCTAGGAGATAGGGAAGGCAAATAAATAAAAAATAAGTCCCAGTAAAGGAAAGAGATGCATCAGACTGTTACAAAGTTAATGACTCTGGCAATTAATAAATCTAACTCTCGTTGCTTTAATTCTACACTCAAGTAAAGCTTTTGACTATATTTTGCTTCCCATGTAGTTTTGCTTAGTGAACATCTGTACTACTTAAAGATTATATGTCTCACTGTAAACTATCTCCCTGAAAACAGTATGTCTCACTGTAAATTGGTATTATGATTTATACATTAGTGTCTAGTGAATCAGTTCCCTAAGCCTCTTCACCTCTGGGTACACTAACAAGTTACATTTTTAAGTCTATATGTGTGTCCACACAATGATACTGTAAAATTCTATGAGCTGGCCTGAGTCAGATAGGTGGTCTCCTCTCTGTCTTGCTGAAAACCTATTCAAACCACAATACTCTTTAAAAAAAAAAAATTAGCTGCGGTTAGAGTGTCAGCCCATGGACCAAAGGGTCGCAGGTTTGATTCCCAGCCAAGAGCACATGCCTGGCTTGCATGTTCGATCTGTCCCTGGTTGGGGTCATGCCAGAGCCAACCAATCCATGTGTCTCTCTCACATCCATGTCTCTCTTTCTCTCTTCCTCCTTTCCACTCTATCTAAAAATCAATTGAAAAAATAACCCCAGGTAAGGATTAACAAAGAAAGACCAGTGTGGCTCAGTGGTTTGAGTGTTGACCCATGCACCAAGAGGTCACTGGTTTGATTCCCAGAGCACATGATTGGTTGTGGGCCCAATCCCCAGTGGGAGGCATGAAGGAGGCGGACAATCGATGTTCTCTCTTATTGATGTTTCTATCTCTCTCTCCCTCTCCCTCTCTCTCTAAAATCAATAAAGAAAAAAAATATTTAAGAAAAAAAAAAAAAAAGACAGAAATTAAACTTGAAAAAAAAATTAGCTGAGTCTTTGAGTTATCTTTTGGCCCAATAAATAAGGATGTATCTCAGCACTGTCACACTGCACCAAGTGAATTCCTATGACTCTAATGCAGCCCCCTGAAAAAAAGACTGGCTTTCTCACTATCACTGAAGGGGCAGTGCATTGATCTATAGCTTACTAATAAAGTAGGTGCCAGAAACCTTTAATGAGATTATCTTGAAAAACATGTTGGTGCATTAGAAATATTCATTACATTAAAATATTAAAGAAAAGATCAATCTTGCAGATGATAGAAGTGAAATAAAAAACACTATTTCCAGCTACTATGGGGGGATAGGGCCAACAAAGAAAAGGAGAAGTCAGAGACTAGGACTTCCAAATAGCCTTGGGACCACAGGCAAGTTCCTTAACCAACCTGGCCCTGATTTCCTCTTCTGTAAAATGAGGAAATAGGCTCAGATAATCATGAAGGTCCCTTTCAATTCAAAATTCTATTACAATTATTTCCTTCCGTGATAACTTGGAAAGGTACAGAAAATTAACCAAGAAAATGTAAGAGTAACTTGCCTCAAACAATATAGTACATTTCTTTCCAAGTAGAATCTACTTTATCTCCTTTACAATAAAACTAGATCCAATAAAATAAAATAAAAATTGCATATATAGGGAGGAATCAATCCTAAGACTGAAAACAAAAAGGAGGACTTACGTGTGTCTTTCATATCTGAGGGTTTCTCGGATGGACCATGCAACCTGGTATGGCGAGGCTTGCTCTGCGTCCTCCAGTTCCTCTCCGCTCTCTTCAGACCAGTCCAACCCTGGTGCAGATGAGATAGTGCAAGTAAGAAAAAAGTTACCTTTATTTAAAATTTAGATAAAAAGCAACTTGAAATATGTGACCCAATACCTATTGCAAGGACTGTTACAGTATGAATAAATGCCTCCTGTTGGGTTTCATCCATCTGACAAGGATATTAATAATGAATATATGACATACACTCAGGTATAAAATAATGACATTAAAACAAAAAAGCTATAGTCCAAGAATGAACTTCTTTTTTTTTTTTGCTCTGTTTTATAATTTTATTTCTCAACTACAACTTACATTCAATATTATTTTGTATTAGTTTCATGTGTACAGCATAATGGTTAGATAATCATATACTTTACAAAGTATTTCCCCTGACATTTCCAGTACCCAGTACCCACCTGTTAACATATAATTATTACAATATCATTGACTATATTCTCTATGCTGTACTTTATATCCCAGTGACTATACTTTAACTACCAATTTATATTTCTCAATTACATCACTCAGTCCCCCAACCACCCTCTCCCTTCTGGTTACCATCAGTTTGTTCTTTGTGTCTATGAGTCTGTTTCAATTTTGGTTGTTCATTTATTTTGTTCTATAGAGTCTACCTGTAAGCGAAATCATGTGGTATTTGTCTTTCTCTGGTTGACTTATTTCACTTAGCATAATACCTTCTAGGTCCATCTATGCTGTCACAACTGATAAAATTTCATTATTTTTTATGGAAGATGAACTTCTTTTATCAGACACTTCACAAATGGAGTAGAAACAACACAAGCAAAGAAAGTTCAAGTAAAAAAAAAAAAGGTAGACTTTGATAAGTATCAAAACAGTACATACTAAAATGTCAGAAAAACAAAATATATTCAAGACGGTAAGAAAAGAAGCGCAGGTAAGACATAAGTCTAATAAAGGTGCCAGTGAAGTCACTCTATACTTCAACAAAGAAGGGCCCTATAATACATTGTCAAAGGTAAAGACACTTCTCCCCCTTTCCCAACACCTCTGGAGGAAAGGGTTCCATGCACTAGGTGGGGCCATTCCCTGGCTCTTGCCTTCTAAAGGAAGAGGAAGAGCAGGATGGCAATATTCTATTTCTAAGGTGGCTTGGGGTTTCTTTTTAATTATTTTAAACAACAGCTGCCCCGTTTTATGTTCCATTTTGAAAAATAAGTTTATAAAGAAAAGTAGAGAAATACAGTATGAACAATGCTTACTTATTTTGTTAAATGCTATTATTTTTAATGACTGGACAATTGTTAGCTTCTAACAGAAAGGTTTTACTTACTCAGAAGTTTTATATCTTGAAGAGGTCTTGATAAATACTGACATTTCATAGCCTAAAATATGACAGCCTGTGGGACTACATTACTTTAATATCCTCATACAGCTATGAAACTTGAATTAGATACCTTGAAAACTAGTATTCTATGTCTTCCTTCTTGAGACACTAAAAAATCGTAAGTTATATTAAAAAGGACTTCACAGTTTTCTTCCATAATTTAAATGTTTGTTTAATTGATTTGTGAAAGAGAAAAACATCAGTGTGAGAGTAAAAGAGATCAGCTGCCTTCTGCATGCCCATGGAGCATCCAGCCCGCAAGCCGGGAAATATGCCCCGACTGAGAACGGAATCGGTGACCCTTTGGTGCATGGGAAGACATACAAGCAATTTAACCACACAGACCAGGGCTTCTTCCATAATTTAAACAAGTTCACATGTGACAAACAGGAAAATTAGAGAAAAAGTAAACTGATGTGCAAACTTTAATGCTTAAAATTAAAGGACATAATGTCACTGGTATAAAGAAACCTCAAATCTAGTTCCAAGATCACTACCTAAAATGTCAGATCATCTTAAACAGTTACTTTTTCTCAACTAAATTACTTAGCCATTTGTGGGTTTTGTTTTTTTTTTTAAGTGAAAAACAAGTGATCCCAAACAACAGCATCAGCTTCAGCATGTTGAAAGGTGAAGTCTTTCAAATACAATGTAGCACTTTAGGCATCTTTGCAAAATGATAACATGAGTTATCTGTAGAAGTTATAATAATTTCTACTAACACACCTAGTACTTTCTCTGAAAAAGTCACAATCTAAATCAAAAGAACTAAAGTGTGTTTTTCCTACTGTAAAATTAACTGTCCAATAAAACAAACCTTTGATCTTGGTTTCATTATCACTAGTTTTAATATAACTTACTGAGATAATCAGCCCAGATAGGATTGCAAAAGCCAATCATAAGACTACATTTTTAAACAGTATTTTTTGCTGACGTGAATGCAAACGATTGGTCGTAATATTGTGTTATAATTTCTGGTTTCTCCAAAATAATCTTTGGTTTGAAAACTTGGGCCCCTAATGTTTTGAGTAAAAAAAAGAAAAAGACAATGCTTTCCTGTAAGTTCTGTTTGAAATTATATAAAATATACCCTCAACACAGTATTCAAAAGTTAAAAAATTATCAGGCATCCAGAAGTAAAAGTAAAAATTCCGTAGATGATCTAGGTAAGTGATAGACTAAGAGGCAAACATTTGGGGGGGGGGGGGGTTAGATTTCTGCCTCAAAACAAACACCTAACAAGTTCCAAACAGATGACCAAAATGTAAATAATAAACAGACTAACAGAAAATGTAGGTGAAATACTCTGGGGATGAAGAGAGTCCAAAAATGGGGAGAAAAACACTGATTCAAAAGGAAGAAATCCTTAAAAAAAAAGAATATATTAAAAATTTTAACTTCTAAATTCCAAAATCATTGTAACAGATATTTAAAAGCAAATAAAAATGGGAGAGAGGGAAAGTATTGTAACAAACATGAAGTATGCATAAAAAGCTCTTACTAATCAATAAAAACGAGAAACATGTCATTAAAAATGAATAAAAAATTGAAAAGGCAAAATAAATAAGAAATACAAATGTCCAAAAAAAACTACATAATCAAATATTCAAAATTCTATTAATCCAAAATAGCATTTTTCTCACTCCAAGTATGGTCCAAAGATCCCTAGGTGTCCCTGAAACTCTCTCAAGGGAGTTCCTTAGCTCAACACTATCTTCAAAATAACACTAAGATGTTAGTTGTCTTTTTCACTGTGTTGATATTTACACTAGTGATTAAAAAAACCACAGCCAAAAACATGATGGGTAAAACTGCTGGCACCTTAGCATGAATCAAGGCAGTGGCACCAAACTGTACTACTAATAGCCATTACATGTTTCACACCAGGGCTTGCAGTTAAATGAACAAAAAAAGTTTTAGGAATGTCCTTGATAAAGCACCTGTTTATTAAAGATTGTTTATTTCATTAAATCTCCATTCTTTTTTTTTTTTTAATTTATTTTTTATTGATTAATTTTTGTTACAGATGATTCTCCTTTTTCCCCCCACTGATTCCTCCCTTAAATCTCCATTCTTGAGTACATGTCTTTATAACATTCTGTGTGACTAAATGTGAAGTATATATAAAGCACCTCTGTTGCATAGAAAAAAATGTGATGGGCCCAGCCAGGATGGCTCAGTGGTTGAGCGTCAACCCATGCACCAAGAGGTTGCAAGTTCAATTCTTGGTCAGGACACATGCCCGGGTTGTGGTTCAAATCCCCAATAGCGGACATGAATGAGGCAGCCAATCAATGTTCTCTTTCATCAATGTTTCTCTCTCTCTTTCTCTCCCTCTCCCTTCCTCTCTCTCTCAAATCAATAAAGAAAAAAATATATGATGGTTGTCTTGAGGAAAGGTACTTGCATGACTGTCTTAATTGTAACCTAAACTTGCTGGGGTTTTTTCCCACTCAAACTATGGTTATTAAGACTTAGCTATGTGGCAGTCATTTTTTTTCTAAAATGAACACAATGAATCTATCACTTCAAGTAAAACAATGAACAGTATTTGTTGCCAATATAAAATTCAAATTTTTACCTGAAAGCTTGATATTTTTTTTGAAAATTTGAATTCATCTCCGAGAGTATGATAATTTCCTAATAGACTTTTCTGATGAGACTGGTGGTAATGTTAACACATATAGTTTAACATTTTTATATAATAAAAAATGTCAATATTTGGAACATCTGTATAACTCGGTAAATCATAATTTTCCAAATGACCAACCCATGATACTATAAAATCTTGCCTGGGTAAAAGATCCACTCAAAGTACAAGGTAAATAAATGGATTTTAGTGTAACAGTATGTAAAATTCCTTGATATGATTGCAAATTCCACAATGTAACTACTGTTTAAGAAACTACCACTTGGCAGTTTGGGTACAGAATCAAACAAGAATATCCACAATTATTTGAAAAAAAGCTACTGAAGTATTCCTTCCTTTTCCAACTACAAATGTGTAAGGCCACATTTTCATCTACTAACCAAAACAGCATATAACAACAGAATGAATACAAAAGCAAATATGAGAATCCAGCCATCTTCACATTATATTTATTTTGGAAAACAGTTATTTTTCATAAAAAGAACATGTTAACATGATGAGCGTTTTATTTTTAAATGAATTATTTTTAAAATTTCTCAGTTTTAATTTCTAATTTAGTAAATATAAATAGCTATAGCTCATATAACACAAAGATCTATGGTGCCCTCAGTAATTTTTAAGAATGTAAAGGGGCCCTGGCTGGCGTTGCTTGGTTGGTTGAGCAACATCCATGTACCAAAGGTCACTGGTTTGATTCCCAGTCAGGGCACATGCCCAGGTTACAAGGCTTGATCTCATGTGGGAGCCAGCCAATTAATGTTTCTCTCACATTGATGTCTCTCTCTCTCTCTCCCTCTCCCTTTCTCTCTCTAAAATCAATAAAAACATATATATTTTTTTAAAAAAAGGATTCCAAAATGGCGGCAGAGTGAATGGAAGCTACACAGACCATCTCCCAGGACCAAACTGGAATTACAACTAAAATAAAGACAAATCGTCAGGAAAAAGAAACAGAAAATCAGCGTGGGAGGATCATATAACCAGGGACACTGACTCAATCCTGGTAGGC